GGATTATGGTTTGTTGCTGTATCCAATGCATACTTGTTTTTATATCTATCTTCAGGCCTAAGGTAAATCAAATGATTTTACAAACAAAGAAAGCTGATGATACTAGATTTGTGTTAAACCAAATTGCATGGAGCAATCATAATAATAATAATTAAAAATGCTCCATAGGGGGGAATGTAAGGAGTGACCTAGAAAGCACTACCCGAAGACGAAGCAGAAGAGAATGTTATGTGACGAATGCCCATCTGCAATGATAAGGAGGAGACAGTCTTAGATAAAGGGGGCTTGAAAACAAAAGCAGAAGCAGAGTACTGGGTTAAAGAGCTCATTAAAATACTAAAAATCACACCCCTAGGTGGGGAAAAAGTATGCTAATGAAACATACATGTATGTAAATAAGATACATAGCTAAAACACAGGTATAGAGACATGCTCAGTAAAGAACTTCTTGCGTCACTCCTTACAACCAATCGGCAAACAAGCACACTGGTGAAAACTTGAAAACTCCTGTATAAAAGATGCTTAGAAGTAGTGATCTGGTGTGCTTGTTATGTGAATTTTATTCTGCTCGCACCTTTTATTGCTAGCAATAAACCTTCTTTGTACTTTCACCCCTGGTATCTTTATTGGCCTTTGCATACCGGGCACGATCCCAGACTTGAGCTGGGGCTCAACAATGGCGGTGCTCCACTGTCTGTCTCTGTGTAGAACAATCTGACTGGCTGCTGAGACAGCCAATCAGACTGCAAATAAAGCATTATGGGCAGACAGACAGACTAAGGCTTTTATAATATTAGAATTTTTGTGAGCACATAGTTAGCACCTGTTATTAAAACTACTGAACTATTTCTTTAGAAGTAATCAAATCTTTATCTTTGTGTGTGCCTGTTTCAGATACTCAACTAAGCCATTTGAAATGTCATCATGATGGCCAAAATGGCTGAAAGACAGGGATATTGAAAAAACAGGGTGTAGAGGAAATATTATTGTATGTCAGTTTTTGCACGTGAAATTAGGAACTTGCCCACTTTAGTTACAGCTTTTTATCACTTTGTAAAGACAGAATAGGTAAACATGGCATGAAGTTTTATTAGCTTGTGTTATGGATGTACATATGCATTACTTGCTGTACACATATGTACATGCAATGTAGTTTGACTGTGATCCAGCCATTCAAGGGTATGTTACATGCAGTCTGATACTGCTTCTAAATTGCTGTAATTTTACACAGAACTGCATAGATGGCTTTCCATTTATTTTTATGTAGCCATTTTCAGTGGTAGCACATTTATTTTTGCATATCACTTTCAAGCAAATACATGCTAAAAAAATAACTAGAAGAAACTTTCATTTTAAGTCACAGTAATTTTGTTGCAGTCTCTAATAGACATTTTCTTCTTTTTTTTAAAACACACAAGGTCACACTTGTAATAAGACAAACTGTTGCTAATAGGCCAAATAATATCAAGATGATAGTTGAGACACTATACTTATTATTAGCAGTTAAAAAGTCCATTGGGGGAACAAACATTACTGCTTGTGCTATATTAGATATATCAGAGTGCAGAGAGGCTTTATCAATGGCACATATAGCCACATACATTATTGTGGTGTTTCTTGTTGCAAAAGCTGCTGGTTTAAATGAAAATATTTCCTTGTAGCCCGCATAATGAGGAGTCAGACTGGAGGTATTCACAACTGTAGCCTTATCAAAGTTGTCTCTTAATTCCAGAGGACTTTCACTTGTTCGTATTTCATAAGTTGCAGCTGAAAATGGAAATATGTTAAAACAGATTTTGCAGCATACAGGCAGCACCTCCCATCAAAGATATTGATCTGTTTCCTTACAAGTAATCAAATCATTACCTTCATGGCTGCATTTTTCAGCTACACACTTCAATCATTTGAAGTGTAAAGGTAGCATGTAGGACAGACTCCTAATACCATCTTTACTCACATACCACATGCACATTTCCCCATAAATCAGCCCTCCAAAATTAGGGTGCATAACATAAGCGGGGCATTTCTGTGAACATTGGAATTTCTGTACCAAAATTCCAAGGAGGAATAAAATGGTGGTTTTCAACCTGTGGTCTGCGGGCCCCTGGGGGTCTGCATAGATTCATAGATATTAGGGTCAGAAGGGACCTCAATAGATCGAGTCTGACCCCCTGTATAGGCAGGAGAGAGTGCTGGGTTCAGATGACCCCAGCAAGATTCCTATCAAACCTCCTCTTGAAGACCCCCAGGGTAGGGGAGAGCACCACCTCCCTTCCAGATTTTGGCCACTCTGTCAAGAAGTTCCTCCTAATGTCTAGTTTAAATCTGCTCTCTGCTATCTTATGGCCATTATTTCTTGTGACCCCCCCAGGGGCGCCTTGGTGAGTAGAGCCTCACCAATTCCCTTCTGTGCCCCCATGATGAATTTATAGGCAGCCACAAGGTCACCTCTCAACCTTCTCTTGTGGAGGATGAAGAGGTCCAAGTGCCCTAGTCTCTCCTCGTAAGGCTTGGCCTGCAAGCCCTTAACCATATGAGTGGCCCTTCTCTGGACCCTCTCCAGGTTATCCACATTCCTCTTGAAGTGTGGCGCCCAAAACTGCACGCAGTACTCCAACTGCGGTCTGACCAGCGCCCCATAGAGGGGCAGTATCACCTCCTTGGCTCTATTTGTCATGCACCTGCTGATGCATGATAAAGTGCAGTTAGCTTTGCTGATGACTTCATCACAGTGATGACTCATGTTCACCTTGGAGTCCACTAGGACTCCGAGATCCTTTCTGCTGCAATGTTACCGAGCAGGTCATTTCCTAGGCAGTAGGTGTGCTGGACATTTTTCCTCCCTAGGTGCAGCACTTTGCAATTTCTCCTTGTTAAATTGCATTGTACTGTTTTCTGCCCATTTGTCCAGCCTGTCCAGGTCTGCTTGTAGTTGTTCCCTGCCCTCTGGCGTGTCCACTTCTCCCCACAGCTTTGTGTCATCCGGAAACTTGGACAGAGTACACTTCACTCCCTTGTCCAAGTCACTGATGAAGACATTGAAGAGTATCGGTCCAAGGACTGAGCCCTGCAGGACCCCACTGCCCACATCCTTCCAGGTCAATACCAACCCATCCACCACCACTCTCTGGGTTCGACCCTCTAGCCA